GGAAAATGCGCCCATCAGTTCATTCAGTTTAACTGTACGGGAAGTTGGAGGAGCAGGCTTATGAGGAGGCTCCTGCTGCTGCGTCCTGCTGCTGCGAGCTTTGACCAGCTGCTTGCCACCTGTCATTTCATTTTGGCGAAACGTAAGACACGAGTTCGCTTGACACCGGGTTTGCCGGCGCTTTTTGACGGGGCCGTCCAGACCTTTGACGGTCCAGTGTTCTTGAGACGTTTGCCTCGGGAGAGCTGTCGTCAGATTTCAGATTGGGTCTCGCCATTTTTCAAACGACCCCGTCAGACCAAGCGGAGTCCTCCAAACTCGGGTCTTAGGTCCCCGATGACTGCTACGGCAAATTGACTGGAGATCGTTCGCATATTGTTGCCACTTCTGATTCGCGATCACTGAAAAGCCCCACTGGCGACGCTAGTCTCAGTGCTGGATAACTCCTGCTTGCGCCGTGGGAATGCCACGCCCAAGCAAACCGACGAGGCTTTCGCCAGTTTTCGGGCCCACGGAGGGTCAGGGAACCCGCAGTGCTTACCAGGAAGGGAGGGAGGCACGGGAGACCAGGAATGGCAAGCCTCCTTGTCCACCTCCTCCCCTCCTCTCAGGAGGGAAAATATGGGAACATATGGGGGAGTCCTGTTATTTGTGTCTGTTTATGTGTGTATGGGTCCCAGGGCCCCCTCATCCTTTTCCTCGCTTCAGTCAAGGTTGAGGCCTTGCACCCGTATTCAACGCAGGCGACGATGCCCGACCTCAGACGCTGGACCCCGATCGCCCTGGCCGTATTCTGCTTCCTCCTCCTTCGTTTTTTCCGCTTTGTTGCTTGTCCCTCATCTTCCCTCTTTCCTCCACTCCCCTCCCTTGCCCTCAACCCCCGGTTCCGTAGTTCTCCCTCTCCGTCCCCTCTTTCGATGATGGGGAGAATGCGTGGTCTTAGTAGACATGGTGACGAGGAGATGTGGTGAGGGAGGCAAGAAGGGATAATGAAGGATGGACCAAAGGATGCGTGTGGGATGATGGTGGTGATGATGGTGTTGATGATGCTGATGAGGATGTTGTTGATGCTGATGCTGATGGTAAAGTTGATGGTGAAGATGAAGACGCCGATGATGATGTTGTTGCTGATGATGATGATGATGGATATAATGATGCTGATGACCATGGTGATGCTGATGTCGATGATGATGGTGATGACGATGGTGTTGATGAAGCTAATGATGATGCTGCTGATGATGATGACGATAATGGTGGTGACGATGGTGATGGTGGCGGTGATGGTGGTGGTGACGCTGATGAAGCTGATGCCGATACATTGGATGCCGATGCAAATGATGAGTTTGTTGTTGTTGATGCAGATGAGGATGCTGATGGCGCTGACGATGCTGATGATGCTGATGATGGTGATGATGACGATGATGATGATGCTGCTGATGAGGATGATGGTGGTGATGCTGATGATGATGGTGATGCCGATGTTGATGATGATGCTGATGATGATGCTGCTGCTGATGCTGATGCTGCTGATGATGATGATGATGCTGATGATGATGATGATGATGATGCTTATGACGATGTTGATGCTGATGTTGATGATGCTGACGAGGATCATTTTCATGACGATGCTGATGATGATGCTGATGATGATGTTGATACTGCTGCTGATTCTGATGATGTTGCTGCTGATGATGCAGATTCTGATTATGATGGTGACTGTGATGATGCTGATGGTGCCGATTATGGTGGTAATGATCAGTGGAGGAGGAGGAAGAGGAGGAGGAGGAGGAGGAGGAGGAGGAGGAGGAGGAGGAGGAGGAG